GTGAGGGAATGAATAAGACTTCACTGTGGGTGGTATCGGGGTTTTTTGCGAGACAGCAGGCAGAAGATGTGGACGGTAAAAAAGCGGTTGCCATCCCCAAAAAATGGGATATTGAAAAAAACAAACCGACGAGAGCATTTGACCGTCTCTTGGACGAAAAAACACCCTCGAGGCAGCACGGGCGTCGTGAAGAGCTGGAAAGTGAATTTATCTTAGGGTGATGCTACACAATTATCTTTATTCTCACATTGTAATGTGCAGGCGATTTGTGATGTGCTTCATTCAATATTTATTGAGCTTTTATTGTTGGTCGTATCATTTGCTTTTTACCCTCAGTACATCACATTCGTGCTGATTGCTCGGTGGACAACGAGTCACGATAAAAATGATACATAGACAGAAATTCTCAGAGAGAAAATCTCATTACTCAAATGTACGGCATTTTGACATAAATTTATTTTATTACCTCTGATGTCACATGTGAGCTTTTTTGCTCTCATCAGATCCTCCTCGAGGGAATGTTTGAACGAGTGAAAATTGCCAAGGGGAAGATCCATGTGAAAGAAAATGCATTTAAGCGATAAACAGGATGATGAATGTAAACCTCCGAACATCATCAATTCGCCACAAAATTCAACGTAATCGACATTCTTTGGAAACAGCGAAAACTGACAAAAGACTGCGCGGGGTTTGAATAGAGTATTAAATATCACAAAGTTCAATTCTTCAGCTGCCAGATTCAGGAAAAATGTAGAATACTGAATTTTCCGGTGGTTTTTCCGCATTTTCCTTCACACCGACGGCAACGCCATACATTCAGTTTAAGGGTATAGAGAATTTAATTTGGGCAAAAACCTCAAATTCAACAGCTTGGGAAGGGAGTAAAGGGAAGGAGCCACAGGTGTAATTAATCATCGTCAGAACTGTTCAATGTTCAACTCACACCTTCACATACTGTGATACCCGAGTCTAGTGCAAATTTGGAGCGCGGCGTCTAATTACTTGTGAAGTTGTGAGTCAAAGTTGAAGATACACATTCACCGAGTCCCAAGCACTCTTTCATTATCCTCACCGCACCAACGCAACCCCGAAGAAAATTATCTTTGAAAATACATAGTTCCACACACTGGAAACCCTCTGGGTTTAGCACTAGCATTATGCAGAGGAAGACCTCAATTTGGTAGAAATACATTTCCTCCCAATTGCTCTGCGACTGGGAATAATTGATGAGGATTTTATCGAAATTGTCTCCAGTCAGCTCAGGGTATTAATTCACAATTCACATGCAAAACACACTATATTGCAGAACGAGCAAATTTCTGCACAAAATTCTCTGACTCTTTTGAATGTCTCTTCTTACCATTCAAAACTAATTTTCACTAAACGGCATGCAATTTATTCAAGCAATAATGAACTTAATTTCTCAAGTGAAAAGATGTGAGGAGCCAAGTTAATTCACTCCACTTGCAATAGCATTTGCGACTTTGCAATTTCAAGTTGCGAAAACTGCTTTTTGTTTAAGAAATGAATTCCTTTATTCTTAATTGCATCAAGAATTCTAAGTGTACTCGTGACTGTGAAATGTCAGACCACAGAGCTTAGAATGTGTTTACAGCATACTCATCCACGAATATCCATACAAAGTAGATCTTGTACATAAAGAGTAGAGAAAAATGTATTGGAGAAAATTTTTATGAATCGTCAAGTGAAACATTTTCAAACAGAAAAAGTTTACGCACTTAAGTATGTACCCTGACTGTAATAAAAAGACACTGGCAGAAATTTAAAGAAGCACCCTTGCAGCATGAATAAATGAACAGATGTCCCCCTGAGGTGAAGGGACAAATACAATCACGTGGAACGTGAGAGTGCTGTTGATGCGAATGATAATTTCAATTTCTAACTCGTAGAATTATTCAACAGGTGTAGGATGAAAATTGAAAGACAATTCTGAGTTGTTGGGTGAGAATGCGTGAAATTTCAAAATTCATCTTTAGGTCGGCACTTTTCCCCAAGACAATTTAATTAAATTTCCCTACTTTGGGAAGAAGTGAGCAAACTTCCTCCGATGCTCCTTTGAGGATGCTGCTCATTTTATCATCAACGAAAATATTATTTCATTAGCTTATATATTAGTAAATAGATTGTATGTATGCAACAAATACATAAGTATGCGAAAACTCCGTCTATAACCGACACTCTATTTGCATTTTTGGCAGCCGAGAAATTTTCTCCGCACTCCTCAAGTATCCCTCCTTTCAGGATGAATAATTCATGATATTTTATTAATTTTTTATGATGTCATCATCAGCAGCGCATTTTATTTACGTAAAATAATCGCAGTATAGGAGGAAGTAGGAAAAGGATTCGCTTCATTTCTTCCTTCTCTTTCTCATTTCTCAGCACACTTTCCCAAAAACAGGAGCGCAATCTTCACACTGGAGTCATGAAATCAGCATTTTCGCCATTTTTTTCCTTGGAGCAAAAGAAAGTTGGAGGAAATAAAACTTTGACGCTTGATGAGAAAAGGAGGAAAAATTAACAAAACGTGCCGACATTTCGTCTCTTATTGTTATATTTGAAATTCTCTCAAGTATTCGTAATGCCCTGAGAGTGACTTTAATCTGCGTCTAGGGAAATGAATAAAAAATTGAGCAGATAAGGTGCAAATAAATAATAGAATTGTGTAACAGCAATTTTTTATTTACACACACACACATTTGCGATTGTTAATAACAAATGGCACATGATGAAGCTTTTGAGCTTTTTGTCACACCACCAAAAAAAAGGCAACATGAACGCGCACTTTGCATGAGGTTATGGAAGTCGTACAAATCATTGTAAAAATTTACCAGTCCTAATGCTTGGGTCGCACTGTAATTTATTCACGGAACAGCGGGAGTGTATAATCAAGTTTTTTTTTTGCCAAATTACCACGGTTGGATGTAGAGCAAATTACCCGAATTAATGTGAGTGCGAGGTGCTTGCACTCTTTGTGATGGATCCTGGAAGTTTTCAAGGGGCTCTTCATATATCACAAAAGTAGCTTAAATTAAAAGCCTGACGAGAATTTTTACAGAAATGTTTACTTCTTACTCTAGAACGTTTTTATTTTATATTTTTCCTCTGAGTTCAGATTTAAAACCTCTTTAAATCCTTGAAATTTAGAAGAGCTTTTGCATGGCGCAAAATTTTTGGCAGCAATCGAGTTGACAAGTTAAGTGCCTCCGTGATTATTTCATCAGATATCACCAAGAGAGTTGCCAAAGGTAAATATTTAACATTTTAGCGTGATTTTTGCAAGATTAATTTAGTCGCTGAAAATGTTGAGTGTGTAAGCGTCCGGAACTGATTTCATTTCCCACGTGCGCAATTCCATGAATGCGAATGTCTGGCGTCATTCAGCCGATCCTCGAGCGCGTACGTGAGTGAAGGGCGGCAAGTGCGTAGGGAAATGTACCGGGAGAGCAACAACAGTCCCGGAACCATCTCCACTCCAACAGGCCGCGATTGTGTCTCTCGATAAAATAATGATAAATGGCTTCTGGCCGTGTGGAGCGGGCGGAGCATAGCACAGTTCATTTACCATCAAACCCCCACTTGTTCTACGCCTTGCCGTTCGATCTGTCACGCTAAAATATTAATCGCCTTCCACCGTCAGAGCCTTTTCCATGCTCCGTGAAGCTCCCAGGTACACTTATAAGAGGCTCAATTTGTTCCGTGCACACACACGTACCTCTGAGTATTTTGGCTGCTCTACATAACAATTTTTATTGCACACCCACCGACAGCCACCCACAGAACACAACTCAACCCGCTCCGCTCCAGTAGCACTCGCTCCTTCAATTAGTCCTTGTGACAGGTACGATTTGAAGATGAAAAATTACTCACCGCTTTGATTTACTGTTGTGCGGTTTCCCAATGGACTCAGTGCTTGTTCCCGGCAAAAGCACGGAAGATGGGACAGTTTCACTCACCTCTAGAGACTATCTGCAGTGTCTTGCGGAACAAGTAGCTTCTACAGAGATTAAATTCATTCGTCTTAGGAGCTATAATTTCAGAATACTCCCACAGATAATGGAATTTATTGTTACATAATCCACACAAATGCATTTTAATTTATTATATGCATTAATTCCATATCAGATCACAAAGAAACAGAGATTATGCCTGCAATATATACAATCTCATGCCACCGTTTGCAACATCATATGCTCGCAAACTATCACATAACCGTATCTTTTATCGAGAATAAAGTATGTGTTTATGAAGCATGTTAAGAGTCTTTTTAATACCTCATGATTGGCCACTACAAAAAAACACCACCTGAGAGCACTTGAAAAATAATCATACGTGAAATGTTAATGGTTAGTGAAGCTTGATGCACTCTAGCTCCGCACTTTGAAACATTGCATATTCATGGGAAATGTGACTGATGGAAATTATCAAAATTCCCTTCCACGTGCTTCAAACATTGCTTCCCATGAAGAGTTGGAGTGCAACACAGTCGAATGTGAAATTCCCCCTCGGCGGATGATCGCAAAAGTTATGACTAATTAATGCAATTGCAGTTTTTCTCCCTCTCGCTCGATCCATTTTACTGCCGTGAGAATTCATATAACAAACTCCATTTGTTGCGATTGATGCATAATCATTCAGACAGTAAGAGTGAATCGCACAATGAAATAAACTGGGTATTTTCGCACAGATTTATTGAATAATAATAATTACAGCAGAAACTACAGCGGATTTGCACACTGCAAGTCAATAGTACTTGTTTAGATATCACTTTTTAATCCAATGAATGGGCCACGAGGTCAGCAGGTGTGATTTTCGCGAGACAGGGAAACATTTTTGCCTATAGAGTTGCACTAATTGTTAGTCTGGCGCCTAATTGATAAAGTTGCCCGGAATCTCACGCGGTAAGTCATCAATTATTCCGGGTGGGAAGACGGACATCGGAGGGGAGGAATTAAATAATCACTGAGCAATTGAGGTTCCTAGTAGAAGTCTCCGCCGAATCCGTGCTCGAAGCCTCCTCCTGTTGCGGCCTTGGCTTCCGCGAGGGCGTGCAGGTGCTTCTTCCGGGCAATCTGGACTTCGGGCGTGTCAATTGGCACACCATCCTTGCCAATCACAATGTGAGCATGGGGTCCGTGGTAGATGAAATCCGAGGCAGCTGCGATGGGAGCCGCGATTCCGGCCTCGGGGCCCTTGGGCAGATTCGTCGCGGCGACCACGTTGAAGCCACTGTGTGGCCCAGCGACGTACTTCACGTGCTGGATTTCGCCATGCCCATCAATGTAGGAGTACTCGCCGTGGAGATGGCCGTCGGGACTCTTGTGCTCGTGTTTCTTGGAGTTTGGCTCGTGGTAGCCATAGGCGTATCCGCCGTAACCGTCCTGTTTCTGGAACTGACTGGACACATCAAAAGGGATGGCGGACACCACACCCACAGCAAGGACAAAGACAGCGACTAACTGTAAGGACAGAAGTAATCCAGGAATCAAACAAATTATTCAATCACGCAAGACCAAAATATAGTAATAAACACTCACGATAACTTTCATATTGAAATGATGGTTATTAGTGACACAGCAAGTAGACTTTGGCTTTTATGATCACTAGGACTCTGATTGAATACTGTATCATCGTCCATGGCTTAGCCGCTTTTATATGCATCTTCCATCGCCATAGAGGCCTGTGGTGGTGGCGGCAAGAGTGGTGGCAAGTGGAGCAAACACTCTTGAGGTGTTTGAGGTTTGAGGTGCAACTTCGACTTGGAGCATTGGCACGATTGGCTAATAAAAAGCCATTGAAAGACCTCAAAGAGAATCCAATTCCTCACCAAAGGGTTCATTGAAATTGAACAGCATTGGAAACTTCAGAAAACTACACTGAATACTGCACAAATTGCATCCAGTTCAGAATAGTTCAAAACAATTTCTGAAAAGGTTCTCAAAACTTTAAAAATACTCCAAATATTGCAGAAAAGTTAATTTCCATTTCAATCAAAAAATCAGATGAATGTAAGTAATGATATTTGAGCAAAATGTAATTAAATCATTTCTCATTTGTACATGTCTTTTGACTTAGAGGCTTTCCTATTACAGCATCATCAGATAGTCTTTTTTTACGAAAATATTGCATGCCAGCCCATGACCTTGCTCTAGAATTAAAAGCACGGAAGCAGCACAATTGCTACACATTTCTTTCACTCTTTTTCTATAATGATTACATTATTTTAACACATTACCCACGATTGATGTCGGAATGCGAAATACATATTTTTGCTAGGTGGTCAACCAGACGCGATGTTGGCAAATATTCCGTGAACAATTGTACAATTAATGTATTCACAAGAAAGTGAAATATCATCAATTCAATTGGGGTTTTATGCAACGCCAATATAATTCTCACAAATTGACGTGAGCTTTTGCAAGATTTTTCTTTCTATTTTCTTCCCTTTTTTCTCGCTCTCACTACGCATTTTTTTTCACATACAATGCAATTTCAGTCTAATTGGAAGGCTTTCAAAAACTTGCTACATCTAATTGCTTCAGAAAATTTTTCGATGCACATTTGCTATTAAGTAGAAAAATACACGACTTTTGTTCGGAATGAAAAATCCCCTCAAACCACTTCTCAGCCAGATAACTTGTACAGAAATGCTGCTCCTCACATTCGAGTCCCTTTGAATGTACGCTACAGTGGGAAATTACTTTTCGGGTGAAAACTTGTGATATTCTATTTAGCTTTTTTTATCTTGTGAACTTTTTTGTTCCCACCTTTACAGGATGATGATGGGAAAAACGACCAATGTGAACTATCCTCGGGCAATAAATTGGTCAGTGGTGCTCTGTGCAAATCCCACTCGACACCCAACCTCGTGTGGAATTGGGTTTCCGTGTTACATGACACTTTGGCTGGGTTTAGAGAGAGCATAAGAACGAAAAAATGGAGCAAGTGGATGATAAAAGGAAGCGAATTCAGGCATGGTGCGAGAGAGAGATTGTAAAGGACTTAAAAAATAATTCGCTGCTCTCTGAGTATTGCAACCAACTCCCATATCAGTTGGTGCGTTAGTCGTAGATTCATCCGCGAAAATTTCATTTAATATTCATGAAAAAAACGCCGCTCGGGAACATTTTTCATCAGTCTTGCACGACAGATTAAAGTAAAGCATGAAAATGGCTAAATTAGCTGTACGTGCAGAATAAATCTTGCAAGTGTATGACTATGTATCAAAATGTAATTTGTCGTCCAAAGTGGCCCCTTAATGATCACAAATGCTTCCAAAGAAAGCAAGCTGGAAGACAATCAAAAACCACCACCACCAGCTGATCGCATTGGACGTCTTCTTCTTCCCACACTCCCAAATGTGGCATCATTTTTCTATTTGGTCCGGGAATTAGGCTGCAAAGAACAGCATAATTCGTAGAAACCTGTGAGAAACATTGGAAATGTTTCTGCGTCAAGATGTCAAACTCAGTAAAATAAGTTTACTAGTTTCAAATGAGTTTCTGCGAGTTATTCTATAAAAAAAAATTCTTTTTGTGGCATCTTTGGAAGTGTATAAAATGTACAAAAAGTCTCTTAAAATGTGCAATTTTCCTTTAACTTGCATGTGGTCCTAAAACCTAATCTGACCTTCTATACTCGGAAACACATTGGGTGGCAACAAAAGCGTGATGGAAGCTTTTGTCATTTTCCGCCAGAAGAAAATAAGTGTGGAAAATTGCGTGAGAGTCTAACTTGATGACAACACGCTGGGCCATATAAGAAATAGACTTTTGGCCAACGATGGCGAAATGATCTAATGGCAATGCAGTGGGTGTGGATGGCGATGGGCGGAAAAATCAACAAAACAAAAGCTTTGTGTTCTCACTTGAAAAGTTGAACCAAACTTAATCCGGACGTTGTGTAATATGTGCCGGAATATCAGTCACTGTCATGCCGAAATGTTGATTTTTCTTGGCGCAAAATACACGCGCCACCATTCTTCGATTTATCATCGTGTTGTGGGTACTATGGCAGCGAAAGTATTATGTGAAAAATATAGAGAGTGATGATGATGACAATTCAAATCTCAAATCAATTTCACTACGGCATCCATCTCGTCACTCTTGTGATGCAACTTGTCTCCGAGCAAAGATCTCCTTCCACATATCGCATCACTCTTGATGCAGATATTATAGAGGCAGTGAGAGCTTAAAGCATCAATTTGCATCTAGATTACTCCTGAAAGTGCATCCTAATAGCTTATTCCTTCCGCATCGCTCAGTTTCGCTTCAATAGAGCGCTTCAAATTAAGCGAAAGAAAACCACCTCCACAATTCAATTTTAAATTCTGCACGCTTTTCCCAAATTATAACACAATTCGGCGAATTTCCCAGAAAATTCAATCCATCTAATGTACATACCACATACATAAGCTTTGGCTTATAAATAAAATATGAAATGTCTATAAATATTTCAGTTTATTCAATTTTCAACTTCATTTCAATAAATTTTGCATAAATCTTAGGAGTTTCGGGATGAGAATCAAACTAATTTTTCCCTTAGATTAAAATATTTATCGCATTTAAATCCCAGCGCAAGCATAACAATATTTTATCGGGTAAGCATAGTGTATTTTTCTTATTAAATAGCACAGCGTTAAGAAAAATCTGGTGCCCAAGTCAGTCGTATATTTACACGTTAAGCAAGAAGACATTACATCGTCAGTTTGCCGGGGTCTCCCGTCGAGAGATGCCAATAAAAATGATAAAGGGTCTCAAATATTTCAAAGAATAGCACCCCAGAGCGACGGGTAGAGGAAAATACACCCACGTCAAAAATAACACGAGAGCACTTTCTCTGAATGTTTGCGATAGGCCAATAAATAGCACATAAAAGCGCATAAAACTTTACACTCCATGCGAATTTTGATGAAAATCCAAAAATGTGAGGGGGTTGAAAGAGAATTAAAATTATTCGCACGCACCGAAAAAGATTATTTTTATTGGCCAATCATTCGTGATTTCGTGTGAAAGCATTTGGCGCAAGCTTTACTGGGGAAGATAGAAAAATTCTGGGGAAATTTTACGAGAAAAATCCCTCTGACGTAAATGTAATTCATGTGGTATGGATTTAAAAGAGTGGAATTTCCTACACAAATTGGGTGGCTTTATCAAAGACCTCACATTTATACCCATCATACACCATAAATTTTTTTTTCCATCTCCAATTCAATTTACTTTCGTGCTCGCAATGTGAAATTGAAGTGCTTACAACAAGCCCCAGAGTGGGAAAAAGCACCAAAAGTCATTAATGGTTTTGGATATGGCAATGGCAAAAGTCACACGTTATTGCCTTCGATATACAAAATGGACAGATGAAAGTTTTCGCAATGTTGTGGATGGGAAATGGACACCAAAGATCACCTATTAAATTTAATTATATACATAGTGGGCGAGTAGGTTAATTAGTCTGTGTGCTTTTTCCTCCCAGGCCTATTTTCACATGCTTTCACATATTCCACGCACATAATATGGCTAATTGTGACTCTTTCCTCGTCCTCCGGAGCCAATATTATGATCTTTACGTGTGAGAATCGCCATGAAATTTCTTTACAGGTGAGAGACAAGGGCAAATAAAGCCTCTCCAAATTACGAGCATTCGCTGATTGTTAATTTAGTTGAGTGATTTAGACGTACAGCTTACGAGAAATTAGTTTTTATGATTCAGAAAATGGCAAAATTCACCTCTTGATTGATCACAAAATGCTATAGTATCAAATATATCGCAAAATAATGCACAGAAACTTCCTTGAAAATTGTCTAAGATAGCAAATTTATAAATAAATTTAAAATGGGTACATTAAAATTCGCTGTGATAATAGCAAAAGTTGAATATTAATAATTGTTGTATGTCGTTGGGAAGATTAACAGCGATAAGGCGTGAAAAGTGAAATAAGTCGGATTATAATTAAAATTTTCCCATGACGATTTCAAGTGCTAAAACTCTTCGTTTGTTGAAAATTTAATTAGCGGGAAATAGAAGAAAATACGTGATGAATGTTCACACCCTTGGCATAATAATCTTTCCCTGAATATTTAATAAAGTCTCTTGATGCGTAATTGGTTGTGTGATTTAGCTTCGCGCTCTCTTCCGCAGCATCTCGTTTGTGCACCAATAAAGGCCTAAAAAGCACTCCACAGACGAGGAATGTTAGAGCTTCTGCGTCGTTAGCATATCATTTAAAATTAATTTTACATGCAAAAGTCTAGCCAGAAGTTCAAAAAGAAGCTTTTCTAATTGAGTTGACGGCATGCCTTTCAAACTTCTAATGCCATTACAATTTTATTGGGCGCCACCGTTGTAAAGGAATATTCATAGGCAAAACGGAACTTTGAAATAGGATGGGTATTAATACAATTCGACGCAAAGTGAAATTCATTGACACAGGATGAGTCAACTGAGTCATTGAGGGGTTGAAGATTGAATTGAGTAAATTAAAATTAATCATCTTTCATATTGCTTACGGTTGGGGGAAACACGGAAAACCGTCGCAAACACAGATTTCCTG